ACAATTACATTGATAGAAGATACAATCTATCTGCAATATTAAGCTGATCCATCCCCCCCCCCCAAATAAAATAAAATAATGATAAAATAAAATAAAATACACCAAAATACACAAAAAAACAGCACACACACACACACACACACACACACACACACCACACACACACACACACACACACACACACACACACACACTTAATGTTGAGCAATGCACCTTACACCCAAATATACAAACATGCATGTAATCCCAGCCTCAGATGAGCTGTGACAAAACACCTGAGCATTTAAAAATACATTAGACACAGATTTGCACAGAACTAGAGTCATCTAGATGAGATTGTTACTATCCTCATAGGCACACTTCCACAAAGCACCTGAGTACCTATCAGAAACACAAACACGCACACATCCACTCATCCACACTCACTCAGACTCATTCACACTTCAGAGAAGCAGCATAGTGAGACAGGTCTCTTCTTCCCTCCTCTCCAACCCCGTGCAGTACCTCTCTGAGTTTTCACACTGTGTGTGTGTGTGTGCTAAACAGTTTATCAAATGGATACCCAGACTATTTGCATTGACCTCCTGTTTCACACTGCTGCTACTCGCTGTTTGTTATCTATGCATAGTCACTTTACACCTACAGTGAGGGAAAAAAGTATTTGATCCCCTGCTGATTTTGTATGTTTGCCCACTGACAAAGAAATGATCAGTCTATAATTGTAATGGTAGGTTTATTTGAACAGTGAGAGACAGAATAACACAAAAAAATCCAGAAAAACGCATGTGAAAAATGTTATAAATTGATTTTCATTTTAATGAGGGAAATAAGTATTTGAGCCCCTCTCAATCAGAAAGATTTCTGGCTCCCAGGTGTCTTTTATACAGGTAACGAGCTGAGATTAGGAGCACAATCTTAAAGGGAGTGCTCCTAATCTCAGTTTGTTACCTGTATAAAAGACACCTGTCCACAGAAGCAATCAATCCATCAGATTCCAAACTCTCCACCATGGCCAAGACCAAAGAGCTCTCCAAGGATGTCAGGGACAAGATTGTAAACCTACACAAGGCTGGAATGGGCTACAAGACCATCGCCAAGCAGCTTGGTGAGAAGGTGACAACAGTTGGTGTGATTATTCGCAAATGGAAGAAACACAAAATAACTGTCAATCTACCTCGGCCTGGGACTCCATGCAAGATCTCACCTCGTGGAGTTGCAATGATCATGAGAACGGTGGGAATCAGCCCAGAACTACACGGGAGGATCTTGTCAATGATCTCAAGGCAGCTGCGACCATAGTCACAAAGAAAACAATTGGTAACACACTACGCCGTGAAGGACTGAAATCCTGCAGCGCCCACAAGGTCCCCCTGCTCAAGAAAGCACATATACAGGCCCGTCTGAAGTTTGCCAATGAACATCTGATTGATTCAGAGGAGAACTGGGTGAAAGTGTTGTGGTCAGATGAGACCAAAATCGAGCTCTTTGGCATCAACTCAACTCGCCGTGTTTGGAGGAGGAGGAATGCAGCCTATGACCCCAAGAACACCATCCCCACCGTCAAACATGGAGGTTGAAACATTATGCTTTGGGGGTGTTTTTCTGCTAAGGGGACAGGACAACTTCACCGCATCAAAGGGACGATGGACGGGGCCATGTACCGTCAAATCTTGGGTGAGAACCTCCTTCCCTCAGCCAGGGCCTTGAAATGGGTCGTGGATGGGTATTCCAGCATGACAATGACCCAAAACACATGGCCAAGGGAACAAAGGATTAGCTCAAGAAGAATCACATTAAGGTCCTGGAGTGGCCTAGCCAGTCTCCAGACCTTAATCCCATAGAAAATCTGTGGAGGGAGCTGAAGGTTCGAGTTGCCAAACGTCAGCCTCGAAACCTTAATGACTTGGAGAAGATCTGCAAAGAGGAGTGGAACAAAATCCCTCCTGAGATGTGTGCAAACCTGGTGGCCAACTACAAGAAAAGTTTGACCTCTGTGATTGCCAACAAGGGTTTTGCCACCAAGTACTAAGTCATGTTTTGCAGAGGGGTCAAATACCTATTTCCCTCATTAAAATGCAAATGAGTTTATACAATTTTTGACATGCGTGCTTCTGGATTTTTTTGTTGTTATTCTGTCTCTCACTGTTCAAATAAACCTACCATTAAAATTATTGACTGATCATTTCTTTGTCAGTGGGCAAACGTACAAAATCAGCAGGGGATCAAATACTTTTTCCCTCACTGTACCTACATGTACATAATACCTCAATTTACCTCGACTAACCTGTACCCCCGCACATTGACTCGGTACCGGTACCCCCTGTATATAGCCTCGTTATTGTTATTTTATTGTGTCACTTTTTGTCTTACTTTAGTTCAGTGAATTGTTTTTGAAAATATTTTCTTACTTACTTTTTAAAAACATTCTGCAGTGTGCGTGTACCATCAGCAGCTGTTGCTGTATCTCTCTGTCTCCCGCTGTTCCTCCCTAAAAAATTAATAAAACACAATATAACATTATTGAAAAGTTATACAAAATTAAAAGAGCCAAGAGGTTTTCCCGATCAGGTAATGTGGCCAGGAACACACTTCTGGCCGTAAACATTACTGCAATATTCTTACGACATTAAATACCATTGTGACAACAGAGAACAGAGCACGACAGTGTTGTGTAGGAGTGTGCAGGTGAAGGTGAAGTGTAGGTGGTGGATACAGCACAGTAGATGTGAAGGTAATAAAAACCTTTAGCTTGGATTTTCACTACCCAGCTGCTCTTCATGAATGTCTTTAAACAAAACTAGCTAGCAGCTACTGTGGAAGGACGAGAGGGTGAATCACTCAATCACACAGCAGGCTAACCTTCTAATAAGTTCAGTTAGATAGAAGTGTGTGTGTGTGTGTGTGTGTGTCTCACCCCCTCCATCGTGCCCAGGGCCAGTCCGTCCAGGTATCTCTCAGCCACTCTGAGAACCAGTCGATGGTGTATAGTTCACCAGGGCTGGGTACTGACGGATATACAGTGCATTCGGAAAGTATTTAGACCCCTTGACTTTTTCCAAATTTTGTTACGTTACAGCCTTATTCTAAAATGTATGAAATCGTTTTTTAACCTCATCAATCTATACACAATACCCCATAATGAAAAAGCATTTTTTAATTTTTTTTTACAAATGTATTAAAAATAAAAAACTGAAATATCACATTTATTTAAGTATTCAGAGCCTTTACTCAGTACTTTGTTGAAGCACCTTTGGCATCTATTACAACCTGGAGTCTTCTTGGATATGTCACTACAAGCTTGGCACACCTGTATTTGGGGTGTTTCTCCCATTCTTCTCTGCAGATCCTCTCAAGCTCTTTCAGGTTGGATGGGGAGCGTCGCTGCACAGCTATTTTCAGGTCTCTCCAGAGATGTTCGATTGGGTTCAAGTCCGGCCTCTGGCTGTTTTCGCTTTGTCATTATGTGGTATTGTGTGTAGATTGATGAGAAAAAAATAATATTTAATCAATTTTTGAATAAGGCTGTAACGTAACAAAATGTGGAAAAGTCAAGGGGTCTGAATACTTTACGAATGCACTGTAGTTCCTGTGGTACACCATCACACACACCAGTTAATCAGTTCCAAAGAATACTATACATTTCAATAAAAGTAAATCTGTTGTGTGGTGTTCTGAGTCTTCTTGTGCCTTAATGTGTGTCGTGCATTACCCAGGTGGGTGCTACACACCGATGTGGTGGTGAATGACGTAAATTATGAAAAGCTCTTTGAACTTTTGGAAAAAAACGCGACTTAAATCCATTAAACACAACAGCCGCCAAGACCCAAACACCATTGTCTGGGCCACTAGGTTTAGCTGGCTAATTGTTGTCATGCCATCACAGCCAGCCCTGGTGAGACTGTGTTGAGTTGTCCCACTCCCAGCCACTAGTACTGGTCAGAGGTGGAGGAATGGATGGGTGGAGGGAGGGAAGCCCTGAAGCCAACAGCCAAGGCATGGTGATTAGCTCTGGGTAATGGGCCCTGCCAGCCCAATTAGTGGTATTATGTGTGACCACTGATCTGTCCCACTAATGAGAGCGAGACAGACTGGTGTTAGTGTGTGTGTGCGTGCATGTGTGTGTGACCCAGACGTCTTGTCTTGTCCACCCTGTCATTTCTAATCTCAGCGAACCTCAGGCTAAAACGCTGTCATCCTAAACACAGAACCTAATTTGCAAGACAAGAGACACACATCAACCATTAATAACAAGCTGATTCACAAGGAGCCTCCAGGGCCCTGGTCAAATGTTGTGCACTAAATAGGGAATAGTTTGCCTTTTGAGCCACAACCGAGGTGTGCAAATGTTGCTGTCAATGCTGTAATATTGAGAATCAGTTGCGCAGCAGTGTGGGGTTCACACACTCAGAGAGAGAGAGCCACGCTTTATGAAAGGGAAACTGATAATGAGAGAACCTTGGCTAAGCTTTGGTACATTGCCGCCCATTAGCACAGCTGGATGCCGCAAGAAAAGCTTTAATCTCTATCTCAAACCCTTATTGTTGAATGTGTTCAGTGCTTTGTAAATTGTACATTTATGTTCTTGGTCCTTTAGCTCAAACGTATCTGAAGGGCACAGAGCTCATACAGAGGACGTTGTGTAGGTTGTAGTTCCTCACTCTCGTCAGGTAGTTAAACATGTTGTCTTCCCTGGCTGAGTCAGACTGGACACCTGGACAAAGAGGTCAGGGTCAAAGGTTAATACACAGGGAGACAAAACAGCATGAGAACAAACACACAAAACACAAACTAGGCTACCACACGCACGTTTGATAGCACTATATTACTTTCTATCTGTTTTTTTGTGGTGACTTTTCCAAAAGAAATTGACTTCACTTTAGCACCTGTGTAAAGTCAACCATTTAATCATTATTTGCTGTGTTATTCCCTCTTTGAAAAGAACAGATGCAAATGTTGCATTGTATTCAACTGTTAAATAAATGTGTGTTTAGTAGTGGTACCTCTTCGAACTTGTCCTGTTTGTAGAGGTTGGGCACCTCTCCAGAGCTGAGGATGTTGTTGATGTCCTCTAGGAACGACTGGTTTACTATGTGGGTGTCGTTGAACAGAATCACTGTGGGCTTGTTGTCCACACCCGTCAGACCATACAACTCCTTTATGTCTGAGGGTCAAAATCTATTAAATTAATCAATCAATCCAAATGATCAATAAGGCCCTTTTTACATCAGCAGTTGTTGCAAAGTGCTGGGAAGGAAAGACTCTGGAATAATGACAAGTTTGTACAAACTCTTGGGATGTGACCAAGAGTCAGGACAAGATGGAAAGTCAAATCAGGAAAAATAGAATATTGGTTTACAGGTACGTCTCTAAACTCTGTTAGAGAAGCAGGAAATTCCTGAACAATCAATAGAAATCATCTCTGAAACTACAGGAGTAAAAGTAAAGCAACTAAAATATAAACTAAAGACAAACAACAGTTGAAAAATGTGTCTGACTGCAGAACATAAGGCTGTCGGTCTGACTCAATGAATATTAAACATTCAGGGACCAAGCAGCGCCGAGCAGCACGCTGTAATTCAGTGCAATTATGTTATGAACAAATGCTGTTGGCAGATCACCCAAATTCGACAAATGGATTTCTCTTGCAAAACAGGTCCAAATATATCCTGTCTCACAACCTCTGTGTGAAGTGCAGACGACTAGAAAATCTCTCACTCCAACTAAACTCCAGTGTGCTATAGAGCAGTGGTTCCCAACCATGGGCACTTGGCCTATCCACAGGGGGTACTTGAGAAGACTCATCTGACCATAGACCTACTGGTAAAATGCACATGAGGGGGTACTTCAGGGGTACTCCAGGCAGAGCAAAATTATGTTGGTGGTACAGTAACTGAAAAAGGTTGGGAACCACTGCTATAGAGTACGTGAAGAGTAGTGTGTATAAGTGCAGTAGACCTACCTGGGTTCAAATACTTAAAGTGTTTGCTTTAGACTGCCTTTCTAATGGTTCCATTGTGCCAGGCAAGCTCAATCAAGCACAGATAAAGTATTTTAAATGATTTCAAATATTATTTCAAGCCATGTCTGGTAGTAGGTCATATATAATGTTCTCTTACCCTCTCTGAACTCCTGCTTGCGGTACTTCTTGGTGACCTCCACCTGGAAGACCAGGTACTCACAGATGGAGGCGGCCATCTTGGAAAGGCTCCGTCTGCCTGAGCCCCCGATGCCCACCAGCAGCATGTTCCCTCTGGGCTGGCTGATCACACACCACACGGGTTACTGAGGGAACAAACATATGGTTTATATGATCAGCAAAGCTAGACACCAACACCCACCCTAACCTGACTCATTATAGGGTGTCCACCCACTCTGCCCAGAGTAGGTGAAAACATACAGTACCAGTCAAAAGTTTGGACACACCTACTCATTCAAGGATTTTTCATTATTTTTACTATTTTTTACATTATATAATAATAGTGAAGACATCAAAACTATGAAATAACACATATGGAATCATGTAGTAACCAAAAAAGTGTTAAACAAATCAAACTATATTTTATATTTGAGATTCTTCAAATAGCTTTGCACACTCTTGGCATTCTCTCAACCAGTTCCCATATATGCTGAGCACTTGTTGGCTGCTTTGCCTGGTCCTCACAAAGCTCATCCCAAACCATCTCAATTGGGTTGAGGTCGGGTAATTGTGGAGGCCAGGTCATCTGATGCAGCACCATCACTCTCCTTCATGGTCAAATAGCCCTTACACAGCCTGGAGGTGTGTTGGGTCATTGTCCTGTTGAAAAACAAATGATAGTTCCACTAAGCCCAAACCAGATGGGATGGCGTATCGCTGCAGAATGCTGTGGTAGCCATGCTGGTTAAGTGTGCTTTGAATTCTAAATAAATCACAGACAGTGTCACCAGCAAAGCACCCCCACACCATAACTCCTCCATGCTTTACGTTGGGAAATACACATGCGGAGATCATCTGTTCACCCACACCGCGTCTCACAAAGACACGGCGGTTGGAACCAAAAATCTCCAATTTGGACTCCAGACTAAAGGACAGATTTCCACCTGTCTAATGTCCATTGCTCGTGTTTCTTGGCCCAAGCAAGTTTCTTCTTCTTATTGGTGTCCTTTAGTAGTGGTTTCCTTGCAGCAATTCGACCATGAAGGCCTGATTCACACAGTCCCCTCTGAACAGTTGATGTTGAGATGTGTCTGTTACTTGAACTCTGTGAAGCATTTATTTGGGCTGCAATTTATGTGGCTTGTAACTCTAATGAACTTATCCTCTGCAGCAGAGGTAACTCTGGGTCTTCCATTCCTGTGGCGGTCCTCATGAGAGCCAGTTTCATCATAGCGCTTGATGGTTTTTGCCACTGCACTTGAAGAAACTTTCAAAGTTCTTGACATTTTCTGTATTGACTAACCTTCATGTCTTAAAGTAATGATGGACTGTTGTTTCTCTTTGCTTATTTGAGCTGTTCTTGCCATAATATGGACTTAAGAAGGAAATACATTCCACAAATTAACTTTTAAGAAGGCACACCTGTTAATTGAAATGCATTCCAGGTGACTACCTCATGAAGCTGGTTGAGAGTATGCCAAGAGTGTGTAAAGCTGTCATCAAGGCAAAGGGTGGCTATTTGAAGAATCTCAAATATAAAATATAGTTTGATTTGTTTAACACTTTTTTGGTTACTACATGATTCCATATGTGTTATTTCATAGTTTTGATGTCTTCACTATTAAAATAATTAAAATAAAGAAAACCCCTTGAATGAGTAGGTGTGTCCTTTTGACTGGTAGTGTACTTTGGTGATGACATTTCACTTCCTTATGCTATTAATTACATTTTACCAAGATAAATATGATTATTCATGTTCTGAATCGTTCAGTGGGGTCTTTCTCTAACATATCATTGACATTATATTCAAAAAGTCTGATTTCATAATGTAATACATCCGTTAATAATCACCAAGCTCTGTTGACAGAGCGGGCCAGCTTAATCGCTGACATTTTTGAGGATTTTACATTTTGTGGTTGTGTCTTCCAAGTTGTTCCACGGGTCGTAAATAGCTCAATTATTATGACACGAGCTGAATTAAATGTAAAAGGCTTTGACAATAAAAAACTTGGGGTACACTCAGTGTTCCGTTGACATTTTGTGAGAAATCTTCAAAAAAGAACAGGAACTTCGCATTAATAATAAAATATTACATGTCATGTCTCAAAATCGATATCTATCTTACCTCTATATTGTTTTATGTCATCCGGATTTGAGAAGAAAGATGAGTTCAATGGTGAGCCTGTCCGGTAGCCTTCATTCTCGCACAGCATCCAGCCTAGCTGACACCATGCTATATTCCTGATTTATGACAATTTTTTCTCTGGCTTTCATTGATTTAGTCGCCCTAATTTTGACCATCCTACAAGGGTAAAAACTCCAATAACCTTGGAACGGATAATGATACAGACATGGGGTTTGGACCATTGGTTTTCCTTCTAGGATTATCTACACAGTTAACTTATTATTTTATACGTTGGTCAAAATATATGTATTTTATTGGACACCCTACTCATTGGTAAGAAATGAAAATGAAGATATTCATTTTCGTGGAAAGTAAGCGCCAAAGTAGGAGAAAACACCAGGGATGTGTGGTAACGGGATGTATTGACTGTATTTTGTATGGCTGTGCTGTGGAATTTGCAGTTATACTGACTGTGCCATTTGTATTTGACAGTTTTGTGTGATATGCAGTATTCATATGTACTATACTGACTATCACCACTACAGGGGTCAGATTGTAATCCTCCAGCTGAGATTCCATGAAACTCTTCAACGTCTTGAAGTCCAGTAGGTCTTCATACACACAAGACTCCTTCAGAAAGTCCCCTGAGAGAGAAAGAGAGAAACACATACACACACGCGTGCACACACACAGAGACGCACACAAACACACACGCACAGTTAGATTGACATGCAAGACATCTGTAAACAACTCTCGGAAACAGAGCTGTTGTAATCAATCAATCAACCAACCAACCGGTCGACTGCTAATTACAAACCACTCATCAATCAATACCTTAATCGATCCTTCAATCAGTCTGCTTGTCAATTTAAACACACATCTATTTAGTCAGACTTAAAGAACTATCCATTCCATCCTCCCAGTCCCCTGTGTGTGTGTGTGTGTGTGTGTGTGTGTGTGTGTGTGTGTGTGTGTGTGTGTGTGTGTGTGTGTCAGTGTCAGTATAATGAATATGGGTGGGTGTTTGTTGGGGCAGATGCTATGGTAGGTGAATTCAAACAGAGAGCCTAGCTTCTCAGCTAGCTAGTGCTGAGCGATTAGTGCTTTTTAGGTCGGTTCGGTTTTGGTTAGATTATTAAAAAATAATCACGGTTTTCAATTTCGGTTTCGATTATTTGGGTTGAAAGCTGTACCAACACAGAATGAAACAATTAATAAAAGTCCCATGATGGTATTGACTGTCCATTACTGCTTATCACTTATTAACCATTATTTATTCACATTTACTTTACTTTAATAAAATATTTTTGTTGTTGTGTATATTACATTTGTTTTATTGATGACTTTTATTTCATTCCAAGTCATCATCTCATCTGTATAGAGCTGATGCCTATGCTTTCTGACAAAAACACTATTGTGTAATTCTTCAAAGTAAATAAGGCATACTTTTATAAATGCTGAATACCAACTATCAATCACTTAGATCCTGTATTTTCAGGTAGCGATACCTTGCAAAGCAGCAGCTGCTCCCACACGGTCGGTCATTCTTTGTCTCTTCCGTAACAGGCGTAAAAGAAACACAGACTGGACAAGTAGATGCACAATGGATTATGGTAATTGCTGTTAATTACCACGTTTTATGCTCTAAACTATGTAGAATATTGGCCTGTTGGAAACTACAACTCCATACTACATCACACAGTTCAGGCTGGATCTGATTTATCACTTGAGAAACTGTGCAATGTGCGCATTGAGCTCATAGAAAAAAAACGAACGAAATGGAATTGAAATAATTGAACCGACGTCAGTCAATTAGGTGTTTAAAACCCCCCAAATAACCAATATTTCGCTTAATCACTCAGCACTACAGCTAGCAGCTGTACGAAGGCCTCTGCGTCCCTCTGGACCACCAGACGGTCTGAGAACACCCTGGAGATGGAGAGAGGAGACCAGAGGAATCAAGAACACAGTCCTATCAGTGATGCACAGTATATCATCCAGGGAGACAGGGACACAGTCCCTACTGTAGTGGTAGATACTATTGTCTCATTGGGTACAATGAATGTTTCTCTTATCTTATGTCTGAGTATAAGATATTGATGGGATAGAGAGCAATTTACCTGAAGCACTTGTGTATCCACAGTCTGGAGATGCTCTGCTTGGTGTCGTAGTAACCGCAGTAACACCTGGAACATCTAGAGAAGAGAAAGGGGATTTTTACAAACAGAAAAAGAGGTGTGTGTGTGTGTGCGCTCTGTGTCCCTGTGTATGTACCCCCTACCCTGGAGATGTCCTGGAGGTTGAAGAGGTAGTGGAAAGGAAGCGGGTGATGATAGAGTAGTAGAACTCTAGGGTAGCCTGGGTCAGAACATAACCTATAGGCTTCACCTCCTCCTCAAAATACTGCAGCTTCTGGTTGATCATAGTACCATAGATAGAAGAAAGAAAGAAAGAAGTGTGAATATTGATGAGAGGCAGGGTAATGGATAGAGGAAAAGGATGGAGAGAGCAGGAGGAAAGAGGGAGGATGGAGATAGCAGGGGGGAGAGGGAGGAAGGAGAGAGCAGGGGGGGAGAGAGAGGATGGAGAGAGCAGGGGGGAGAGAGAGAAGATGCAACAGAGATCAGAGAGTGAGAGAAAGGAGTAAAGGAGGACACATGTCAGAGGAGGGTTAGGTTAGGAAGGAGAAAGAGGGAGAAAATAAAAAATAACCCAGGGTTTTGGTCTCAGACGAGGGAGACAGAGAGAGGAGAGAGAGAGAGAGAGAGAGAGAGAGCGAGAGCGAGAGGAGAGAGAGAGAGAGTGAGAGAGAGTAGAGAGAGAGAGAGACAGAGAGAGAGGATAGGGGAAGAGAGGGGAAAAAATAAGGAATTAAAAGAGGGAGAAAAAGGCCAATAGAAACAGGCCTGATAACTGCTGCTTCACAGAAAGGAAAGGGGGGGGGGGGGGGGGTTTTGGGGGGGGGGATGGGCCAAGAGGGAAAATAAAAAAGGGGGGAAAACAAAAGGAAGGGGGAATAGGAAAAAGAAAGGAATAAAACAAAAAAAAAAACCCCCAAAAAAAAAAAACCAAAGGGAAAAACCCCCCCCCAAAAAAAACAAAAAAAAGGGGGAAATTAAGTATAGAAAAAATTAAAGACGGGGGAGGATCAAAAGGGACCAAACAAAAAGAAGAAGGAGGAAAGGGGCTGAGGGAAGGGAGAGAGGAAAAAAAAGTTGGGGGGGGGGGGGGGGGGGGGGGGGGGGGGGTTTTGTATTTTTGAGAGGCAGGGTAAGGGATAGGGAAAAGGATGGAGAGAGCAGGAGGAAATAAAGGGGGGGGGAAAGGAGGAGGGGGCAGGGGGGAGAGAAAGATCAACAGAGATCAGAGAGTGAGGAAAGGAGTAAGGGGACACTGCCCCAAAGGGTTGGTTGGGAAAGGGAGAAAAGGGAAAAAATAAAAAAAAAACCCGGGGTTTTTGGTCTCAAACGAGGGGGGAACAGAAGAGAGAGAGCGAGAGAGGGGAGAGAGAGAGGGGGAAGAGGAGAGAGGGGAAAGAGGAGAGAGAAGAGGAGAAAAGGAAATTTTTAAGGAGGAAAATGCAAAAGGAGAACAACCTTTACGGGGAACAGGGCTCTGCAGTAAAAATGCTGCCTGAAACTCACAGAGGAGAAGGAAAGGGAGTAGGAAACAGGGGGAAAAGGGAAATGGGGAACAAGAAAAAGGAGATGGGGGAAAAAAGGGGGAAAAAGGGAGAGGAAAAGAAAGGAGATGAGGAAACAAGAAAAGGGGGAAAAAAAAAAGGGGAAAAAAACAAAAAGGGGTGGGGAAACAGGAGAAAGATAAAAACGGGGGGGATAGGGGGAACAAAAAAAGAAAACAAGGGGTGGGATTTTGGGGGGAGGAAGGGGAAAGGGGAGTTGAGTATAAAAGAGGTGGAGAAAGAGGCGGGGGAGGATTGCGAAAGGGACGGGGAAACTTTTGGCAGAAGGTGTTGCAAGGTATGCAGGGTCAAGTCTGAAGTAATAAAGCTGTGTGTGTGGGGGTTTGTGGTGTGTGTGTGTGTGGTGGTGTGTGTGTTTGGGGTTTGTGTGTGGTTGTTTGTGTGTGTGTGGACTCCTTTAGGGAAGGCTTTGATGAGGTAAATGGGGTTTCTGGATGCAACCTGAGAAGTGGTCCTCCCCCCCCAGGGGGGCCCTATAGATCCAGCAGGAACATGTTATACAAAACACCCACACACACACCCCACACAAACACCCCAAACCACACCCACCAACACACAAGAGCAGGGGTTTAAAACAGCATATTTAGCAAACAAGCACTCCATGCAGATGCATCCACAAGTAAACAGCAAGACTAATTCAACAAAACCACAGTAACACACAAACCCCCTAAAACCTGAAATAGAATGCGAGGGGAGGGAATAAAGGGAAATTAATGGCGGGGGAAAAGGGGGGCCCTTTTAATTAACCCTTTAAATAAGGTGTGGGTGTGGGGTTGGGTAAATGTGTGGGTGTTGTTTGGGAAAGGTGAAGAGAGGGGGAAAAAAGAGAGGAGAGAGGAAAGAGAGAGGCGAGAAAGAGAGAAGGAAAAGAGAAGAGAGGAAGAGAGATGTCACTTGCTTTGGAAGTAAACTTTTTTCCCTGCCAAAAAAGCCCTTTTAATTGAATTGAATTTAATAGAGGGGGGGCGAAGGGATCCGGTCAGGGGGTGTGGATGTGTGTGGGGGAAAATGGAGAGGAGGGAAAGCAGGAGAGAGAGGGAAAAATGGGGAGAGAGGGAAAAAATGGCGAGAAGGGGAAAAAATAAGGGGGGGAAAAAATGGAGAAGGGGAAAGAATGGGAAAGGGAAAGGGGGGTTTGGGGAGGTATACGGGGGAAACGGTTTACCAAAAAAAAGAGGCTATGAAAAAAAGGGATACATTTTGAAAAAGGGGTAGCGAAAACGATGAGTGGGGAGGGGGTTATGGGTGAACGATGATGGATGGATCCACAGAAAAAGAAAAAGAGTTTTGATCGGGTTAAGCTACATGAGCCAGAACATACTCTGAGAATACTCTTCATCATGGACAATGTTCTTGTTTGGCATTAAGAGTGTAACACATACTAGTACTGTGGTTGTGAGACTGTGGTCAAAGTGGAAGGTTGTTAAGAGGTTGTTGTAAAGTTCCAGGTAGGTTGATGGGAAGTTACTAGTAGGTTCCAGGTAGGTCTTTAGAGGTTGTCTGTCCCACCTGTGAGGACATGTTGACGGTGAGGACCGCCCACTTGGAGGAGTCCAGCCCCTGCAGTACGCTCTGTGCCACAGAGGTCTTCCCACTGGACCTGCATCAATCACCGGGTACTGCCCGGTTACCAGCACCCGCACCAGGAAGTTATAATGCACCGTGTCCACCCAGGGCACCATGAGCTTATAAATAGAGCACTGGGGAGGGAGGGAGGAGGGAGGGAGGGGGAGGGGAGGGATGTGAGGGAGAGTACGATGGATAGAGGGAAGGGATGGAGGGTGCGTGGGAGGTGGAGGGAGAAAGGGAGGGAGAGATAGGAGGGAATGATATATGAATGAGGAGAAAACCTGTATGTGACAGCAGTAATAATGAACCGAGAAAAATGTCATTATCAGTTGAAGATATCACTTTATTATACCACCACACACACACACCACACACACACCACACACACCACACACACACACACACACACCACACACACACCTCACACAGACATGAACGGACACTACACACACCACACACACCCACACCCACACACACACACCACCACACACACACACACACACACACTCCACCCCACACACACACCCACACACACACACACCACACAACATGAACGTACACACACATCCACAAACAGTACTCTCTAACACACCACACACCCCACACACCACCCCACCACACTCACTTTGCGGAGTAGCGCCAGCCCTTGCAGCTTGTCCACATAGCTCTTGTTATTAGTGTCCACATAGTACTGATATATGGTGCCTGGAAGGGACACTATAAGAGAAGAGGTCAGTGACACAGTTCAATGTCTGTGCATAAATACAGTCAAAATATGGTAATATATCCCATAAACGAAGGAAATTATCTGTATGAAGTGTACAAAATCCGCTCCTTATTAAAAGAGTGTCTTTCAAATGTGTTTGAGCATAAATACTGAATAAACAGCAACCCTATAAAACTGTGAGTGTGTTTATGTGTGTACTGTATATGCATTTGTGCGTGAGTGTGTGTGTACGCTCATGCATATGTGTGTCTCCGTGCCCCACCTTGTTCATCTTCTTACGACCGTCCTCGTTGACTGAGGCACAGATGGACCAGATGAGACTGAAGATGAAGCACAACTCAACCATACGACCGTAGTGGTCACAGTCAGAGGGTTCACCTGGAGGGAGAGAGAGAGAAAGGGATTGGTTGCCATGGTACGTACCCCATTGTCGGGCTGACCAGTGAGTCGTAGAGGCAGCAGAGGAGGAGACTCCATTGAGTTCGGTGATGGGTCGCAGCTCCTTACAGCTGCTCCTCCTGAACGCTATGTCTACTCTCAAACAACCGCTTCAGGTAGTCCACCTCAACCTGAAGGGATGGGAAGGGGGATGGGGGGTGGGAGGTAGGGCAGAGTGGGTAGGGAGAGAGGGAGAAAGAGGGGGGAGGGAGGTTAACCTGTGATGTGATGCAGCCATCTTGCTGCTATGCCTACCCCTAGCCCAGTTACCTTCTGTCGTTTGAAAAGGTTCTGAGGACGTCGATACATGGCACAGTACTGGGCACCACTCATGGGGATCAGAGCCAGAGCATGCTGCTTAGACCACTACGCCATGGCAGTTCATAATGCTCTAGCAAGCAGGAGAGTACTTTGATGATACTTGATGGAAACAGTGCATTGTTTTTAATGATTTAGATTTAAGCCTTACCCAACCCTAGCCCTAACCCCTCAGAATGAGTACCTAAACTTAACCCTATGACACACACCACACACACACACACACACACACACACACACACACACACCACACACACACACACCACCACACACACTGCTGTCCCAGTAGCACACACTCACAAGCATGTACACACATGTACCATACACACACCACACACAGACACACACAAAGGGGAAGGTGTTTGATCATTTGCCCTGTTTGTGTGTATCTTGTTTCATCCCACGAGTCCACCATTATTTCATCTCCACCATTATTTCATCAGTCCACCATTATTCATCAGTTCACCATTATTTCACTCAGTTCACCATTGGACTCGGACTGGAATCCTCTCTCTGTGCTTGTATTGTCTAGTTACCAATTGCACACAACACCCCCTGTGGTATGGTACAGTGTGTTTATTTTCTGTTCCCATTTGTTCACTGGTAGGGTGGTTGTCATTTTGAAAGGATTAAATATCACACAGTGTACTTCCTGTTTGCCAAACCCAATCTTCTCCCCCTGTGGGCCGGCCCACACTCACTCTTCCGCTGTGAACGCCGGAGGGGCCTAACTGGCATCCACCCTGTCCCTGCTCAACCTGTTCTTCTCCATTATCTCTCTCTTTCTCTTCTCTCCTCCTCTCTTTCTCTCATTCTTTCTCTCTTCCTCTCTCTCTCTCTGCACACTGATTCAGACCTTGCGAGTCTTCACTCTGAGTGGTGTTGAGCTGTGTCACTCTCTCCCGTGAGTCACACGATCACACACTCATACGTATGTCAGTTTTATGTACTCACATAGACTGAATACATCTCTTCTTTGCTTCTGACCTCAAGTGGAAGCTACCTTGTCCCTCCATTCTCCTTTCACAGATCTCTCCGGTTCGCTCTTTTCTCCCATTGCCCATTCTGTGGCACACTTTGTCCATTCCGTTCACTCTGCTACCACTCAGTGTCTTTCCTTACCCTCAACCCTCTCTCTGGGCCCTTCTGGGAAAAAGAGGAGGGGTTGATGGAGTGAACGATAGATGGATGGATCAACAGACAGACAGAAAGAGAGTTGATGGCTACTCTCTCTCCAAATGTTTCTCTCCCACCCTCTCTCTAGCTCTCTCTCTCTCTCTCTCTCTCTCTCTCTAAGTTATTCAGGTGATGTTAATGATGATGATGGGGGTGATGATGATGGCGCTGCTGTTATAAGTACTTCCATCACCCAGCCAGGCTCCTGTAATGTAATGACTGTTCAGGGGTGTGTGTGTATGTCTGTGTGTCTGTGTGTGTGTGTGTGTGTGTGTGTGTGTGTGTGTGTGTGTGTGTGTGTGTGTGTGTGTGCGCGCATCAGGGCTGGTGGGTGGTGAGCCGAGCGGCCCGAGGTACGTGACTCAGCTAATTGCGGCGCCTTGTGAGTGAGAGCCGTGTACTCTGAAATTGTAGGAACCTGAGCTGAGATGGAGGCTATTCAACCTGGTCTAACACACACACACACACCTGCACTCACCTTAATCATACTTTATTACCCCCTACTCCCGCTGTGGCGGCTGGTCCCAAAGTATTTTTAGCAGTAGATTATGGCTTTCCAATATCTAAGCCTCACATGAATAGTCTAATGTTGAATCAAACTTACTTCTGTATGCCCATGTTGCCACACATAATTAATACAAATATTATAATATATGCCATTCATCACATGCTTTTATCCAAAGCGACTTACAGTCGTGCTTACATACATTTTCGTATAGGTGGTTCCAGGAATCGAACCCACTATCCTGGGGTTGCAAGTGCCATGCTCTACCAACTGAGCTACAGAGGACCACATACTCTGAAGAATACTCTTCATCATGGACAATGTTCTTGTTGGCATTAAGAGTGTAACACATAACTAGTACTGTGGTTGTGAGACTGTGGTCAAAGTGGAAGGTTGTTAAGAGGTTGTTGTAAAGTTCCAGGTAGGTTGATGGGAAGTTACTAGTAGGTTCCAGGTAGGTCATTTAGAGGTTGTCTGTCCCACCTGTGAGGACATGTTGACGGTGAGGACCGCCCACTTGGAGGAGTCCAGCCCCTGCAGTACGCTCTGTGCCACAGAGGTCTTCCCACTGGACCTGTCATCAACACCGGGTACTGCCCGGTTACCAGCACCCGCACCAGGAAGTTATAATGCACCGTGTCCACCCAGGGCACCATGAGCTTATAAAATAGAGCACTGGGGGAGGGAGGGAGGGAGGGAGGGAGGGGGGGAGGGATGGAGGGAGAGAGTAAGATGGAGAGAGGAGGGAGAGGGATGGAGGGGGTGGGAGGGAGGGAGAAAGGGAGGGAGAGATAGGAGGGAATGAGATATGAATGAGGGAGAAAATATGTATGTGACAGCAGTAAATAATGAACGGAAGAAAAATGTCATTATCAGTTGAAGATATCACTTTATTATACCACACACACACACACACACACACACACACACACACACACACACACACACACACACACACCACACACACACGCACACAGACATGAACGGACACACACACACACACACACACACACACACACACACACACACACACACACACACACACACACACACACACACACACACACACACACACACACACACACACACACACAGACATGAACGGACACACACATCCACAAACAGGGACGCTCTAACACACACACACACACACCCACACACCCACACACACACTCACTTGGCGGAGTAGCGCCAGCCCTTGGCAGCTTGTCCACATAGCTCTTGTTATTAGTGTCCACATAGTACTGATATATGGTGTCCTGGAAGGGACAACTATAAGAGAAGAGGTCAGTGACACAGTTCAATGTCTTTGCATAAATACAGTCAAAATATGGTAATATAATCCCATAAACGAAGGAAATTAATACTGTAATGAAGTGTACAAAAATCCGCTCCGTATTAAAAGAGTGTCTTTCAAATGTGTTTGAGCATAAATACTGAATAAACAGCAACCCTATAAAACTGTGAGTGTGTTTATGTGTGTACTGTATATGCATTGTGCGTGAGTGTGTGTGTACGCTCATGCATATGTGTGTCTCCGTGCCCCACCTTGTTCATCTTCTTACGACCGTCCTCGTTGACTGAGGCACAGATGGACCAGATGAGACTGAAGATGAAGCACAACTCAACCATACGACCGTAGTGGTCACAGTCAGAGGGGTTCACCTGGAGGGAGAGAGAGAGAAAGGGATTGGTTGCCATGGTACGTACCCCATTGTCGGGCGTGACCAGTGAGTCGTAGAGGCAGCAGAGGGAGGAGACTCCATTGAGTTCGGTGATGGGTCGCAGCTCCTTACAGCTGCTCCTCCTGAACGCTATGGTCTACTCTCAAACAACCGCTTCAGGTAGTCCACCTCAACCTGAAGGGATGGGAAGGGGGATGGGGGGGTGGAGGGTAGGGCAGAGTGGGGAGGGAGAGAGGGAGAGAAAGAGGGGGGAGGGAGGTTAACCTGTGATGTGATGCAGCCATCTTGCTGCTATGCCTACCCCTAGCCCAGTTACCTTCTGTCGTTTGAAAAGGTTCTGAGGACGTCGATACATGGCACAGTACTGGGCACCAACTCATGGGGATCAGAGCCAGAGCATGCTGCTTAGACCACTACGCCATGGCAGTTCATAATGCTCTAGCAAGCAGGGAGAGTACTTTGATGATACTTGATGGAAACAGTGCATTGTTTTTAATGATTTAGATTTAAGCCTTACCCAACCCATAGCCCTAACCCCTCAGAATGAGTACCTAAACTTAACCCTATGACACACACACACACACACACACACACACACACACACACACACACACACACACACACACACACACACACACACTGCTGTCCCAGTAGCACACACTCACAAGCATGTACACACATGTACCATACACACACACACACAGACACACACAAAGGGGAAGGTGTTTGATCATTTGCCCTGTTTGTGTGTATCTTGTTTCATCCCACGAGTCCACCATTATTTCATCAGTCCACCATTATTTCATCAGTCCACCATTATTTCATCAGTTCACCATTATTTCATCAGTTCACCATTGGACTCGGACTGGAATCTCTCTCTGTGCTTGTATTGTCTAGTTACCAATTTGCACACACACCCCCTGTGGTATGGTATCAGTGTGTTTATTTTCTGTTCACCATTTTGTCACTGGTAGGGTGGTTGTCATTTTGAAAGGATTAAATATCACACAGTGTACTTCCTGTTTGCCAAACCCAATCTTCTCCCCCTGTGGGGCCGGCCCACACTCACTCTGTCCTGCTGTGAACGCCGGAGGGGGCCTAACTGGCATCCACCCTGTCTCTGCTCAACCTGTTCTTCTCCATTATCTCTCTCTTTCTCTCTCCTCCTCTCTTTCTCTCATTCTTCTCTCTCTCTCTCTCTGCACACTGATGCAGACCTTGCGAGTCTTCACTCTGAGTGGATGTTGAGCTGTGTCACTCTCTCACCGTGAGTCACACGATCACACACTCATACAGTATGTCAGTTTATGTACTCACATAGACTGAATACATCTCTTCTTTGCTTCTGACCTCAAGTGGAAGCTAACCTTGTCCCTCCATTCTCCACTTTCACAGATCTCTCCGGTTCGCTCTTTTTCCTCCCATTGCCCATTCTGTGCACACTTTGTCCATTCCAGTGTCACTCTGCTACCACTCAGTGTCTTTCCTTACCCTCACCCTCTCTCTGGGTGCCCTTCCTATTTG